AGACCTATATCACATTCTAGCCTCTGCAGTAGAATGCTGTGGTCTATTGTGTCAAATGCAGCACTAAGGTCCAGTAGGACCAGCACTGACACTTGTCCATTATCGGCAGCTAGTAGTAAGTCATTTGTGACTTTGACTAGTGCCGTTTCAGTGCTATGATGAGCTCTGAATCCTGATTGAAAGACTTCAAACATATTATTTTCCTGCAGGTGGCAGCGGAGCTGCTCAGCTATAAGTTTTTCCAGGATTTTAGATATAAAAGTGAGGTTTGAGATCGGTCTGTAGTTTGTAAGTATTTCTGGGTCCAGGTTTGTTTTCTTCAGAAGGGGTTTGATTACCGCGGTTTTAAAAGCTTGTGGGACATAGCCACATTGTATGGATGCGTTTATTATATTTACGATAGGCTCAATTATCAAAGGAAGTATGTCTTTGAAGAGCCATGTCGGGACTGCGTCTAACATGCAAGTTGAGGCTTTTGAGGATGTGACCACAGAGATCACCTCTGCTTGGCTCACAGCCATGAATTTATCAAGGCCCACTGAAGAGTCTAAGTGGGAAGTCACGTATGCCGCTTCAACCTGTCCACCACTAACAGCAGGAGCAACCTCCTCCAGCTTGTCACGGATGGATGTAATTTTATTATTAAAGAAGTGGAGAAAGTCGACACTGCTCAGTGAGCTTGGAATTTTAGGCTCGATTGCGCTATGGCAGTTTGTGAGTTTAGCGACGGTGCCAAACAAAAATCTACTGTTGTTTTTATTCGCTTCTATTAAAGTTGAATAGTATTGAGTTCGAGCCCCGCGAAGGGCCTTCTTGTAGTTTCGGAGACCTGCTTTCCACTCCCTGTGGACAGGCTCCGAGTGGGAGTGGCGATATAGCCTCTCCAATTTTCTGACGTCCTGTTTTAAAGTGTGGAGTTGAACACTGTACCAGGGCGACGATGATCTAATCCTAATGGTTTTCTGTTTTAAAGGAGCTGCTGCATTTAACGCAGATTTTAAAGACTCCATAGTGTTGCCCACCGTTTGGTCAATGACTGAGGGACTGCAGCTGCTGTGAACAGGTTCACCTGCAGCAGTATTCAACATAGGCTGTATTAGTTCTTTGAACCTTGTGATATATTTATCATTTAAGGTTCTTTTCATTATGGTTTTATCTTGCGGGACAGGAAAGTCCTCCAAAGCGAGATCAAACGTGATCAAGAAATGGTCAGACAGCAACGAGCTTTGACGCTGGATGTCAACATTGGAGACATCACAGCCGTAGGTCAGGACAAGGTCCAAGGTGTGGTTATGAATGTGAGTAGGTTCCTCAACATTCTGAGTAAAACCAACACCATCTAGTACGGCGCTGAAAGCTTTGTTTAAGCTGTCAGTGCTGTCGTCCACATGTATATTGAAGTCTCCAGCTATAACTATGTTTTCCCATTCCAAAACTAGGTTTGAAATGAAGTCAGAGAATTCTGTTAGGAACTCGCTGTAAGGACCAGGAGGTCGGTATAAAACTATAAATAGTACTGCTTTTTGTTTTCTCCACCCAGGACAGGTGATTGAAAGTGTTAAGTTTTCAAACGAGTGAAAAGCATTGTTGGTTTTGGGACTAAGAACTAAGTTGGTGTGTGATATAATCGCAACACCACCGCCGCGACCTGTAGCTCTGGCTTTCTGGTAGTTAACATGCGTCGGAGGAGTGCACTCATTCAATCTAACGTACTCGTCCTGTTGGAGCCAAGTCTCCGAGACGCAAACAGATCCAAGCCCTTGTCTATAATAAGTTCGTTTATGAGAAGCGATTTAGACGAGATTGATCTGACGTTCATTAAACCACATTTAACAACCCTACCGCTAGAACTATTTCTGTCTGTCTGAACTTTTATTAAGTTACTGTGTCTGACACCTAAGTCAGATTTCCTCGCATATAGTGCTTTAGACTTCAAGCGGGGAACACACACAGTTTCAATCTGACTAGGTTCTGAGGCTAGTAACTGAGCACACACAGGCATACACATACATGCACACACAGTTTCAATCTGACTAGCTTCTGAGGCTAGTAACTGAACAGATGGGGGCTCAGAGGTTGTGGCAGAGCAGCTCTGCACCCGGGCCTCAGTTCTGCATCGTCATTTGAGCCGAGCAGAACAGTTTAGAGCCAGGGCCAAATTCTTAGCCAAAAGGGATGTACCCGCCAACGTTGGGTGGATATCATCCGAGCGGATGAGACCGGGCTTTCCCCAAAAGGCACTCCAATTGTCAACATGAACAACACCACTTCGAGGGCACCAGCCAGACAGCCAGCGGTTGAAAGCCGAGTGTCTGCTGAATGCTTCTGCACTGCTAGTGCTAGGTAGGGGCCCAGAGAAGATGACAGTGTCGGCCATTGTGCTAGCCAGCTTGCACACGGCGGCGACTTGCAGCTTCAACACCTCGGACTGTTTCCGCCGAACGTCATTACCACCCGCGTGAATAACAATTCGACGGAAACGCTGCTTGTGGGTCATCATGAGCCTCAGATTCCCTTCAATATCACCAAGCCTGGCCCCAGGGAAGCACCGAACAGTGGCTCCTGGGATCTATCCTGGGATCCTGGGACCTATTTTTGGAGGTTTAAAAACCTCCAAAAATAAAATACAAAAGAAAAATCATTTCAGCTGCACTTGCATCTGCATAATCCTGATTGTACAGTATATTGACTCCATCAATCTCCATGTAGAATAAACTTTGGGAGGAGGTGCAGGTATACTTTCTTCAACCTTTTAACCATCACTGGTTACCTCCACAGATGTGTGCTTAGGCCCCAGGTATATATCCTGTTCAGACGACACTAGCGTGCTTAGACTTATGTCAGGGATGAAGCAGACAGAGACGGATCGTGGTGCGCCAAACTCTGGAAGTTTATTTAAGTTTCTCTCAAGTTCCAGTGGTTTCCATTGTTTCCTTCTCTCAGACAAAATGGAGTCAGTACACAGTTTATATAGTCATTGTCACGTCACACATCGAAAGACGTACGTGTCACACAGAGACAGTCACATCATAGTCAAAATAATCAGAGTCCTTGTACAGTTCTGCACGTAGGCCATATTGCTATCTAATACTAACACTTATAAATAACAAGATGCAGTATCTTGGACCTTGGACCAAGTAAATATCTATAGATTTACAGAAACGTGGACAATGCGGCTACAGACCACTGTCTACAGACACTCTGGAATGTGTTACAGCAGCCGAGAACCTATGGGCTCTTTATGCTGTGTCGGCTGTGGGAAAAGCGCAACAATGCCTCTACCATTGCAAACATCACCAGACCATTGATGGTGAACTTCTACAAATGTACTGTCAGAAGTGTTCTGACATATGGAACTCTTGTGGTCCTCCAGCTGCTCCAAAGCTGACCAGCAGACTCACCAAAGGGTGGGAAAATTGTAAAACCCTAGAGAATCATAGACCACTCTCCCAGAGATCAGCACCTTCTACGTCACTCACAGGAGCAGAAACCGGTACCACCCAGCTCAGCACCTGTTGCCCCTGCTGCACTCAGAGAGAAGTGACCAGGACCAACAGTTTGCATCCTTGGTCTGTGAGGCTGCCCCCTCTGCCCCCTCCCCTTTTGACCCCACCTATAATGCTCCAATGTTGTTGATGCTTTTAACAGTGACAATATATATTTGGAATTGAGTATGAAATTAGATAATTTGCGGTTGTGAGATTTGGGAATTTTTGTCTATTATGAGATGGTGAGCTTTTAATGTATCCAACTATCACAGGCTTCTAGGGCAGTTGTGGGAAATAATGCCTGTAAAGCCATCTCTTGTTGGTGACTTCAAAGGACAGGAAGTGTGTCACAGGGACGGACCCTCTTTCCCACCAGATTCTTCTTAGTTGCTATAATAACGACCTCATCCCGTGTGTGTGTGTGCCTGTGTGTGTCTGTGTGTGTGTGTGTGTGTGTGTGTGCGTGTGTGCGTGTGTGCGTGTGTGTGTCTGTATGCTATCATCATTAGCGATATTAGCAATAATACATGCAGCTTCTTAGCTTGCATGGGTTTTTTCAATTATGGCAATACTCTGATATAGGTTATGACTGTAACAGTTACTGGAGTAAAATTGTGTATATCTGTAATACAATATTACTGCTTTAAAAATATAACTGAGTTTCAGTTACTTTCCCATTGACCAAATACTTGCCTTTGTTTCCCATTTTTGTCCCTTGTCAACACAGTACTTCAAAACTCATGGGTCTGCAGTGTACTCCTCCTAGGTCTTCTGAGTTACCTTTAATCCAGAACACTAATTAGATGAAACTGTTTTATTTTATTTCAAAAACGGCTGTTTCTTCTTCAGGAACACAAATCTTGTTTTTGTTCCCACAAGCTATATTAATTATAATGATCTTTGATTCCTTAAATTACAAGATAGCAAGAAAACAAAAAAAAAGTGCACTTACATTAATTATTTGAGAAACTTGAGTTACTTTGATTGTTACTAGTAATATTATGACCAATTTCCACGTGTTGCCGAGTTAATCCAAAAGGGAACATATTACTGTATTATATTACAATTACTCCCATCACCCGTGATGTGAAAGTGTTCGGAGGTGAATGTTGGGATAATATTTTTTACATGGACATGGAGGTGCCTCTCAGTTCTAACATATAGGAATAATACTGTACTAAACACAACATCTAAGGTTTCTAAAACATTTTAACCTTACCTTTAATTGTCTCGATGTTTGCAGGCCAGGGCGGTTCCGTTCAGGGTTATCGTTAGCGCAGTTGCATGACCATAGACTGATACAAGGTTTATTTTGAAAGACTTCCCGGACATCACATGCTGCACACCGTGAGTCTATGATCTGGGCTCAGAGCGCGGCTGGAGCCACAGCGCTGCTGCGCGCAGTCTGCTCTGTCTCCACGGACGCGCCGCTGTCTGGATGCCACGGCTGCTCGCTTCTATTGGAATTATATTATATTCGGATGGTTTTTAACTTCACCCCGATGCAGAGAAATGGGTAAACTGCATTCGAAACATGGTAAGGCTTTTTCCATCATTAGAAGTCTCCGCTTTATGTTGTTCTAGTTGTGTCGCGCTACTTTCTAGTAATTGCATTGTCTTGTCTTCCTGTCAAGCTGCTATTTGTAAACCTCGGGAGAGTCCAGAAGGTAAGCACACTTTAACTAATCACCTCCCTAACACATATTTAAGCACATTTTCAGTCAGTGAGACTATAAGAACACGACTTTAAAAGTCCATTAACTGCTGAATTGAACACCACTGGGATAAGAACACACGCCTCCAGCGGGGACTCAGTGCAGATGTTGGCGTCTTTGTTTCAGGCGACAGTTTCGTAGTTAATGCCTGTTTGGCAAAGAAGGGAATCGACGACTGGTTGGCGAAGCAGAAATACTACCAGCAGGACTATCCTCACAAGAACCACTGCGCTCTGGCTCCACGGGTGAGTGCAGAGCAGACTTTTCTCATGCTCACTTACTAACTATAATGGAATAGCTGTTTTCACCAAGACAGCTCATTGGTTTGATGTACACTTAATGTGCTTTTTATTTGGGGGTCCGCACACAGCCAAGTGTTCTCCATCACAACTTTTGAAAGATCATTCTGAATTAGAATGTGTAGATATCTGCTCCGTGCTAAAGACAGCAGTGGATCAAGCTAGAGTTGAAAGTGCTGCCGCTTGAGTGGTGACAAGAGTATAAGGAACTGGAGAAATACAGATGGTCCAAGTTTGTATTGGCTTTGATATAGTCACCTTATCATTGCTGTCTGTTAAAAATCTGTTGGATAGGCTTCACAGAAGTTTAAAGAGCTAGAGTCTATCAAAGAGAAGTATTACATTATTCCACTGAGTGATTGCCAACCCAATAAAGGGCTTCCCAACAGTCCCAAAGCAGTGTTTCCCAACCACAGGTGCGGGGATCCGAGGGGTACTTGGAATTATTTCATTTTCCGAGGATTCATTTGATAATACACATTAAAATAGAATTCATTATGTGACAACATTCCAAAGAGCCGATAGTTTTAAACTTTGATAATCTTTCTGGTAGCTATGGTAAAATTAAAAAGTCAGATTTGTACATTAGAGCTAATTTGTCTGTAATTCCTGGAACAATCCCCATGAAACAAAAACAATCTGAAAATTTGATCTTCTTCATCTGCATATACAGTATCAACTATGCATTTTCTCAGTTATGTGCCAGTTTGTGCCAGTTTGTGACTGTTTGTGCGTTGATCTCTGTGCTCATGCTCTATTCATAACAAGCATTTGTTTCACACAAATGAAATTAAATGTATATTTTGTTTTGGAGGGGACAGTATACGATTAAGTTAAGATTACTGTAAGAGATCCTTTATTCGTCCCGCAGTAGGGAAATGTCCTAATCCTTTGATAGACCATCAAAGAGGCTTGGGTTTCTTTATTTGTTTTTAGTGCTGTTAAATGTGCAGAATTGTTGCACAAATTGTGCACGTCCTTTTTGACTAGAAGCCAGGGACCCCCGGTGGGTACAGGCATGTTTGGAACCACTGCTTCACAGCATGGATAGAGCAGCTCTAGAATCTTTAAAAAAATGGTTCCATCATGTGCCTTTAAGTCCCTGGTAGGGACATACAGACATATGACACTGTGGGTCATTAGCCCAAATGACATAGCTGTGCTTCTATTCTGGACATGGCAGTTACACATGGCGTGTGGCTTGGAGCTTTTCACCTCTCAGCCTGTGACTTGTGTGCGCCCTGTGCAGGTGGATCTGTCTCCGTTATATGAGTCTTGGCACGCTCTCTCCCCAGTGTAGTGACTGCTCCCAACCTTGATATGGTCCTGACCTAATGATGTCACACACACACATCCAGAGCAATTTAACAACTGAGGACTGCGACCTCATGCTCCTCTAATGAAAACAAAAATGTAATTGTGAATGTATGGGCTGTCTATCTCAGGCTGTTTAACTAATCAGAATATAAAATAGCTATTGCTGTATATCATTTGTTTTAAATTTTAGTTTGAAGTAACAAAAACAAAATAATGATTATGTTAATGATGGTGATGAAAATCAAATATATGAGTGGCATCATGTCTTTGATATATTGAGTTTAACTGTGACCGGTCATACAGCGGCAGGGACAGTAGCTTCTCTTTGAGTGCATTATGCCTCAAATCACACAAGTGCTTTGGATCACTTCAGCTTGTTGTTCAATTCAACTTTTCTCTTGCTTACTTTTATAGAAGCATAATTGCTTTGGGATTGCTTACATGTTACCCTCACTAAGAGCAAAACTTGAGCCTCTTTGTATAGGACAGGTACTATAAAAAAATGACTATATCTGCTTTGTGCATGTTATACTTTATCTACAAGATAGAATAAGTAGAAGGAAGGTGCTTTTTTGGTTTTTGTTAACAACTCATACTTGAAACTAGTTGATCATTATGCAATCCTAATCATTTGATAATTGCACTCATGCATTTACCCAGCTGCCTCCTGTTTTACTCCCTAAAAGAGTCTGTGTGAGCTTCACTTAAAAACAACAGCACCCTCCTCTTCTGTCACTTAGTTGCCAGGTATTTAAACGTTATATTTACATATGATGCAAGTTTTTCACAGCCCACTCCAAAAAAGGACACTGTAATATCCGTGATCCCTTTATTTTTCTACCCCCCCTCTTCCAACTGGTCTCTTTTGCATGTGTTGTGGCGTATGGCATTCAGATTCTGGGCTCTCAGCTCCCAGGGGACTGCTCTTTGAAGAGAAAAGTTGAGATCCAGATTCAAAAGAAAAGACCATAGCCTTTGGGAAAGAGGGCCAGCACCTGCCCATAGAGGGGCCCTGTGAGTTTTCATTTCAATTTTCCCACGAGAATACAGTATTGTACAGGCTTATGTTTAAGTCCGAGTCGCTGCAGGACAGGGAGGGTGTGCGGGCAGGTTTTTGTCATCTCATGTCACATTACTAAACAGTGTGACCGTGTTAACAAAGACTTAAGGACAAGCCTTTGTGAAAGTGGGAAGCATCAAGAGGGTATAGTGCAGGTGGCTTGTTGACATCTTATATACATGTGAGTATCAGTTAGTTCCTCAATCTATTTTTAAGAAAGGTGGCGTGGCGTCAAGCACTTAAAGAACATAATCAACACCTCTACGATTGTTAATATTCTCTGCTACTGACCCACGGTGCACAGATCCACTCCACAGATGAAACGCTGATGGGGGAATGGGCCTTGTATCTCAGGGCATTAGCAATGGAGATGGTTCTTTGTTTCTTCAAATACAAGTTCAGGTTGGTGTTGATCAAAGAAGCTTTCTATACCCTTTCCCCATCTGGCACACTGGGCTGTGAATAGTAAAAAAATAAAGTTGACATATTATATTTAAAAAAATATTTTTTTACAAACCATGTTAGATTTGTTTTTATCTTCTCATTCACCCAGTTGTTTTGTTATTCATGCATTTTTGACATATTACATTTCTCCTGCAAGTCAGTGTTGGTCAAACAATCCCAGTTTTCAGTGCACCATACAAACCTCTCTATTTACATCCTATGGGACACACAAACGGTTCTCTACTTTCTTCATTGTCTGAACATGGATGATTTGACAGTGACACACGTGCCTTTTGGCACAAAAACATAACATTTAAATAAACCTCTTCAATTGAACCATGACAACCTGAATAACAATACACTACACCAAGAATAACAAAAGTGCATATGATCCCAGAGAAAGGTCTCCTGGCGATCTTGAGTCCCTATTATTTAAGCATTTAGAATGCGTTTTCCATAAGGGGTTTGGAAATAAACAAATACACTGATCGTTTATCAGTTTTCCCTGTGGATCCAGGCAATTAATGCTTTGAGAGTGGTAGTAAGGGGTACCTAAATGAAAAGCAGCAACAGACCTTTAGAATTCCCATGAGATTCTCCACATATGAAAGATTTAGTGTAGTGATATTTTTGTTCGTGCATACATGGATCTGTTATCAGGGCCACTGCTGGGGACTCCCTGTGCTTGTTTTAAATGCACCCCTTTACATCGGGGCTAGAGAGGAAGTAGTTTTGAGTTACCAGTTGGGGAGGAATTGTCCTGCATGCGGGCAGTGAATCCAGGACCCCTCCGGTCTCCCTGCGACTCTGGTCTGGACTCTGGAGGTGGTCTAGATTGTGTGCGAGGGGATGTATGGAAGGGAAGCCAAACAGAAGAGCAACCCTGCTGAAAGGAAGGCTATCCCTCCCCACTGTGTGTATGCTCCATAGGACAACTCACCGGCTACAGAGGTGCAGAAGAAACTTTGTACGTTTATTTTAATAAGTTCCATTTAAATATCTTAATATGACTGTATTTACACAATTCATTAGGTGTAAAAACTTGCGCACACTTTCTTGCTTATATTCCATGTTTTTATTTTTATTTCACCAATTAAATTAAATGTTTGATTTGTATCATAATTAGAGGCCAGCCCACTGTACATCATAGTGCGCAATGACAAAACCCTTAATCCGACAGCTAAGAATAGCAGCATGCCTTTGGCCCCGTTGCACTATGTAGTAGCTCAAGTGTTTATTTCTGCTTCTATGTTTACTTGCTTAGTCGAAATGCTCTCTATAATTACAGTAATGAATGGTCCATAGTTAAAAGGTCGGATGTTTAGAGGAGGTCGTTTGTGGCTGCTGGTGTCTGCTGCTCACTGAGGATGTCTCTGAGCCTAAGAGAAATCAACACCACCCACGGGTAACGCGCAGTGCTTCAAGATATACTCAGTAAAGGATGTTTTCTAGAACAATGCATTATTGGCCGTTATAATTTGCTTTGTCATTTCATGTTTTAGAGTGTGAAACATGTAAGATTAAGATATAATTTATTTGTCAGACAGTGGAGACATTTCAGTGTTGCATCACCGGTTACAGAAAGGGTGGAATGAGGAGCACATACCACAAGATAAATTAACAATATCTACAAAAATAAAATAAAATCTCTTGCTGTAGCATAATAAAGAAGCAAGTGGAACATCTCTAGCTTTTATCATAATCATGAAGCGATCTACAATATCAATATCAAGCAAGAATTAAATACCAATTTTTTTTATCTGACTTATCTCTGATGTATCAAGCCTTTATAATGTTATCCGCCTGTATCTCCGTATGCTACCACCAGAGTTGATGTGATAGCCATGTGATTGCAATGGCTCTAATTTCACTTGAGAAATTGCAATTAAACTATTTTATGGGCACAACTCCTCAGACAGACAAGTGCCAGAACTTTGTGGAGAAAAGCGTAGAAAATAACTCTCGGCCTGTTTTAATAGGGGAACAATGTTTAACATGGTTAATAGCTCATAAAATATGTTTTTGGATATATTTGCTTAATTTGATCAGATGATCCAATTGAGTGCAGAGTTCTGATTCGTGTACATTCCTGTACAAAGGTTAAACAATATTGCCCTTGCAAGCT